TATATAAAGCCCTAACGACATTGTAAAAACCGGGTATCTACCGAGGGTACTTGTTTGAAAACGATAAAGATCCGAAAAACAATAACATTCCGTAAACGAAATTACCTTGTATGTAAAAAAAAAAAAAAAATGGTTTATACTGTGTACGCGGGCCTTAGGCTATTCGTCGTCTCATCGTGTATGATGTAGGCACTCGATTACTCTCGATTTTTAATGCGAAACCGTGTCGGGTTAGTCACCGCAGGGTCTGTTATAGTAAAATATAACGATGATCTCTTCCCAGTAAATAATTAAACATTTAGATAATTACTCGACAAACGTTTGTGGTGAAATTTAAAAAAAATGTACAATAAACGTTCAACAGTGTTAATGAAATTTCATTTAACCCGCGTACATTGTATACACGTGTTTGCCTAACACTACAATCTCGTATTAGTGCTTACATGTTATTATTACGGACGAGATAGCCCGCAAAATATACAATACGGTATAATTATACCCATAGAACAATATAATAATAATAATATTATTGTTATCGAATGATTGTACTGTATACAGAATACTCATGTACTAATATCGCGGTTATCGTACCCAAGCGTGTATTACTATAGGACGACCTAACTCTCGATACCAAAAAGGTTACGCCGAGTACAAAACGAGTTGATTTCCGAGAATGCGGTTGCTGATTAAAATTAAATCCGAACAAATTCGGAGAAAATAATCATTTCCTTCGTGAACGAAACGCGACTAAAAAAGCACATGAAAATAATAACACTGTACATTTTTTTTAATAACCGTAGAGGCCTGACATTTTACGCAGTATTCTCAGATTAACCTTTGTCTTTTCTATATACATGATAAAAATATGTAACAAAATATTTTCGTGATTTTTGAATTGTTGATATGCGTTCATAGATTCCAAAATGCATTTTAACCAATACTCTACGTCTATTTTATGGAATCGTCAGTATCGGTTGCTATTTGAAAATCAAAAGTTAATGAGTAGTGGTTTGACCCCGCAAAAATAAAGGTGACGAAAACTAACACGTGAAATTGGAAAGCTGCTTGTTTCCTAAGTATTCTAAAAATTAAATTCCAAAAATATTCAATACCTTCCGAGATAATGAATCTACTAACTATTAATTGGACCACGTCTTATTATATATTGCCGTTTAAACAAATCGTCCGTTCGTACCTAAAATACGTGAAATATGTTATTCTTATTCTCGATATTATAATATTGTAACGCGTAGTAACCTATACAACTACTTGAAACGAATGTTTTTATTGTTAAATTGTTATTATTTATATTTTTAACTCGATCCGGGCTAAAAAGCCGGGACCGAAAAATTCGCCCCCCCGAGTGACTATATTGGCTGTGAGTTCGTATAGTGCGGGCTTAAGGTTTCGAATCACAATCATTTTTAATTTAAAATTATCGTAGATTTTTTTGCCGTTTGAAATGTTTAAAACAGTTTCAGAGTATCGTCACGTCATTTATGTCCGATAGTACCCCGCCGTTCTTCCGGCGCCATCTCTAGTTCATTGAGCAGTCCACGGCGCATTTTTCAAAGAACATTTCTGTATCCAAATGGACGCGTAGCTAAGTCCATCGGACACCCATGTGTAGCGTAACATTTCGTTTAGTGTGTAGTAATTAATGGTAAATTGTTGGATTAGTAGATTTTATGTAGCAAAATATTTTATTTTATACTGGAATTAAGGAGGGGGTGATTGAGAAAAATCCTAAAGTTAAAGGATAAGTTTGGTGTGTAAACTTGTGGAAATTTTTTTTAAAAGAAAGGTGATAGTGGACACGCAATAGATATTCGCCAGTACCATACTTATTTAGTATCATACTCGAGAACGGAGCCGCATATTATATATAGTCACGAGGCGAATTCTCCACAAGTTGTCTTAATACATGACTATCAGGGCTCGCAGACCACATTACAGGTGTTCCGTTGACATTATATGAGATCCAAGTCGGAAGATATTATTATTGTTTGGCGGATATTGCGTATGTGCACGGGTTTTGATGCCCCGAGGGACATATTGGATACCACGTGACAACGATCGCGACGTCCATATACCGCGACTGTATGTATTATTTTTCCCCCCTGGCACTGCAGTACTTCCTCCCCTTTCCGGCCATCACGTTTATGCGTACGTAAAGGTAATCTCCTTCTCGATCTCCGCCGAGAAGTCGTCAAATACGCACGTTCGACACACGGACAGCATAAGTTGTGTATACACGGACGTGTAAATATTACTAAAATATTCGTGTGTGTATGGAAAAAAAAAATAATAATAATAATAATATATGATAAGTCGTTGCGGCTTGCGCGTGCGCGCATGTTCCATAATGTTTACCGTGCTGGCGTGAGACGTTCGAAATAACAATAACACTGTGCGTAAACAACGTGTGACACGGCCGTCGCCGCCGCAACGGGTTAACAAAATATCAAAAAAAAAAAAATAATAATAATAAAAAAAAATACCGGTAAAGAGCAAGTACTAAAGTGAGCACGTCTGACTTCACGCCCAAAACGAACACGCCCGTCCAGAGATTTGTCCACGGACCGACGCGTATAATAGACTTGTAATACTTGTAGGATCTCTTTGATAATCTCCCGGTACTCAGTTCCCAGTACAATCAGCTTTTATCCATTACGTTTTAGATTATCAACAGCTAGCGATATGTTTAATATACGCGAGCATTACCTAATTGTTATCGTTTCGAATATTATTTAGAAATATACATTTTTTTTTTTTTTTTTTTTTTTTTTTTTTGTTTTTTGTTTTATCCGTGTTGGTTAGTTTGCCGTTCAGACTTCACAAAAGTCGAGAGAAATTGCAAATCGATATTTTTAATTAAAAGTTTTTTTGTTTTTTTTTAAATTTGTATAATATTCGTGCTGTTTGGTTTCTTTTTACGCTGTAACGTGCGAAGAGGGTTTTCAATATCTGTTAGTAATCGTAAAATTATGCCTATACGCTCTCTTATCCGGTGTATTATTCTTATCGTTTATTTCATATAGGTTATCGTTTTAGGTTTTGGCCTACAGTTTTTGTTGTTTATGTGATCGGTGTCCCGTCGACCGTCGTAATACCATAAGCGTTAATTGAATAAATTTGTTTTTATTTTAATCGTATACAGTCGGGCGAGTGTATTGGTTTTTTAAATAATTAAACGAGTACGTGGATCATTTTTTTAGTAAGGTTTTTTTATAACGCCATTTAGTGTACAATATTCAGCGCCTAATTTGTTCTCCCTGTCCGTGAGACATCCGCAATGCTTACGAAAATAATCTTTCGTCACAAAATAAAATTGAGTGTAACTTTCAGACTTAAGTTTCACCCGTGTAGGGATTTAATAACAACGCGCATATTATAATAATATTAATTTGCCGATACTCCGTTTTATTAATTTGGAAAATAAATTCACGTTTTTTGATTTTTATATAAACAGCCGATTGAAAATTTCATCGGTTTTGATCGCAACGTCACTGCGGCAAAACAGCAAAACTAACCCATTTAGACTAATCCATAATCACAAATCGCGCACATTTATAAACCGGTTAAATTCATATTTTTGATCGAAAATCCTATATATATTTTTTTTTTTTTTTTTTTTATCATCGTGCAGCGTCATTCGCGGGTTAACAAAGTGAATAAATGTCGGTATACAACATATATTCAACTGTTAAAAATACATAAGACGATTAATGTGTCGCCTAACAGATTGCAGAACGATACGGGATCCGTTTTGTTTACACCGGGTCTTACGAATAAACAATGGCCAATAGAAGAGATCCGTTCCCCGTATACCCTGTCCCATAAACGCGCCACTGGCGGACGGGTAATGTCATCGGGCACATTACCGTGATGTAATAACAATATTCTTATCGTCGCGCGGAGCTCCGATTACCCGGTTATCGAAATCGTCGCGCCCCCGCCCCGACTGAGATGAGCCCGACCGTCCGCGCATACACACACACACACGGGGCGTTTCGACGTGGGAATGTATCCGATTTCGAATTCGTCCGTTGTTTTCCGCCCGCACGCACAATCGACTCGTACGCCGTCCTCGGCTGTATAATTCCAAAAAAAAAAAAACAGTTCGAATTAATACTGTTCGAGGACGATGGTATTGTGTACCGCGGGGCTGCGTTCGAATACTCAACTCATGTTAACACTAGTCGATTCGAGTAAACTCCGGTGTCGTTAGAGATAACTCCGCGTTACCGTTCAGTAACGCAGAGCCGACGTCAGCTATCGAACGGCCCCTAGATAAATAGGTACCCGGGTCCTGTTTAACTCTATCGATAAAGATGTTTATCCTATTATAATAACGATACCGAGTATATTTCTATAGTGGTGTGGGACAGGACGGGAAATCATCAACAGTTCGTATCATTCGTTGTCAACGTCAAGCTTATTACAAAACCACGACGTCAACTCGCATTGTTATCGGATAATATGTGCAGAAAATTCCACTCTACTCTACCGTGAGTTTTCGAACACAGCTCTCAGGATCTGCATCGCTGCGATCCCGCGATTTCGAGACTATAATAATAGTATTTTTAATAATAACGTATGCGTATTCTATGTGATGATAATTTACAATTGGACTTGGTTAACCCGAAGTTGATGGGACCGGCAATAAAGTTGGAGTTATCGAATTTTCGTTTTGTTCTAATACCGGTATCACAAACAATTGTATTAAACCCGTAAACATTGAAACGTAACGGAGCCGCACTTAAGATGCGTATACGTGTGTGAGTGGATATATTTTCGAGTGGTAAGTCAGTCGTGTAAACTGTATCGGTATAACCATAACAGTAATAAACTTCACTTTCTATACCAAATGTACAGTTATAAATACGGGAATAGCCCGTGTATCACTGATACAGACATTGTAAAAAAACTACAAATTAATTCTCATTCTTAGCAAATTTTCTTTGGCACTCGCCCGGGCCATGAACAAGTAGGAGCTATAGTGAATTACAATAGATGTACGTGTTTGAAATAAATTAATCGGGCGTGTCTTAAAATGTTTAAATTTGAACCTTAAATGAGAAAAAAATAACAAAGGTCGTATTATGTAGTGACGCTAAAATGAGTTCAGTATTCTTGAAATTAACTATCGGCAAAGTCAGGTTAGATAAATTTTTGGCCGATAAAGTGTAAAGAAAAAGTCACGTTTTTTTTTTTTTTTATTGTTATTTTAACCATTATTTCGCATTCTTTAATTGGTTTTCTTTTTTGGCGGAATTTCGTCCTAGATCCTCTTAAACTAAATCGAAATTCAACTGAGGCCAACGTATTCCTCTAACACGTTATCAATATTTAAAAACTGATTACAGTGTACGGTAGGTATTTACAGACTATAATATAATATTATAACCGGAATAAATTCGTTTTCGTGTTTCGTTTTAGTTGTGACATTGGTTTTGATTTTATATTATTTATCGTTAATTGGTTTATGGTGAACAAGGTAATTTTTTTGATTTCTCTTGAAGCTCCCTAAATAATTGAAAAAACGGAAAAAAATTTCTCAATAATGATTTCTCTGGTCAACGACTTTGTTTTTTTTTTTTTTTTTTAAATTCGGTTAAATATAATTGTAAGATTTCCAAACTATTCGGGCGATTTTCGAGCTATTTATTATAGGCGTTTGACATTTTCGCGGGATTAATTTTGATTTTTTTTTTTAAATGATTTTATGAGGAAAATGTTTTTCTATAGTCGAGCAGAAATGCTTAAAAAATGTACACGAGGTTCATCATACTTATAGTTATATAAAGCCGGATTTATATTCCCTGGAAATCCGCTAAAAAACCACTCGAAAACTAAAAAATAAAGCCTCGAAAAAAGCAAAAATTTATAGATGATGAATTTAAAATTCTCCGCTCTGTAACGAATTTTACTTGTAAATACGATTTTTTACCGCTACAAAAATAATTAATTACAAGCAGTTTTTATTTTATAATACGTACGATTTTATTTAAAAGAATTTATTTCGTGTGAACCATTTACGTAGTGTTGGGGAAATTTAATATAATAAATCGGAGACATAAGTGGAGGGACATTTGAATCCCTCTATCATTTTTGATTTTACAAATTCTTTTAAGTGTTTATTTCAGGGATTTACGGACGTTTATTTAGCGTGTTTTCGTGAATTATAAGAAAATATAAATCCGGGACCTAGTGATGATAAAACAAAAAGTCGAGCGAATGAAAGTAGTAAAATTCGCGAAATTTCTAAACACATTTAACTGACTTTTGCTCAGAAGTCGGAATCGTTTTTCATCATCGTCGCTGCCCGCGGACATACGTCGAATGACTTTACGCATCCTACCTTCCCGACATCCCACGCGCAACTGCACAACGGCACGCCCGTCGGCCGTGTAAGCTTTGCAAAGATACTCGAAATCCTACCGCGAATATAAAACGAAATTCGAACGTTTTCGTCATCGTCGTCGTCGTCGTCGTCATAAGGCACGCGCGTAATAATATTTTTCGACGTCGATATCATTGTAATTATATTTCTATTGTGACGCATGCGACACAGCGGGGTGAGTAATACGCTTCCGTCATAGTGTCCCGACCCTCTTCGCCCGGGTCACGCCTACGCGCTTTGAAAGTCTGCGCACAAGAGTCTAATCAAACCGGAGTGGAGACGACGCGAAATCGTAATATTTAATATCGTATTATATTATACTGTGCGCGGTACGTACACGTCCTCATTCAACGAACTTTCCGCGTGCGCCGTTTTCGTTCGCTCTTCGGAAATCGAATTATAATACCGTCGGAGGGCGAAAAGAACCCCTCGCGTCTGTTTTCGATACTCCGTGACGGTGCGCGCAGTCTTCGCCCGGCGTCCCGCGTACTGCGGCGGTACTGTTCAGGCAGCGAGGGTCGGTCGTAAAAAGGTTACCGTGAACCCGGTAACGCGTACGTGCCGTAGACCGCGCGCGTAATTAGATCATCCGTTCCGGCGAGGGAGGGGGGGGGGAGGGGCGAGTCGGAGAGGGACGCGCGCGAATGAAGTGGAGGAGTGGTGGAGGAGGAGTAGGTGGAGGCGGCGGCGGCGTCGTATTTCTGTGCCCGGCCGTTTCCGCGCATCCGAAGAAATACACGTTCGTTGCGACGGTACATCACGGTAACAATTATAAAAACGGCGTACGGGAAACGAGAACCGGCTGTGCCGTCGTCGTCGTCGCGGTCGCGGTAATAAACGCGCGTTCCGCGGAATCTCACGCGGGAGCAACACGTGTGCGCGTCCGGCGCGACGTCGAAAGACATGTGCGCGCCGCAGCGACGAACCCTACGGGCGGACGGCGAAAAAAAACCGTTCTGGCCGCTGTCGGGAGGTTTACGGCCGTTAACGCCGCCGCCCGTGTAACGAACGAGAACGTCACTCGGGACGCACGTTTTTCAAACGCGTTTCGTGCGGCATTTTCACGTCCGCGATACGACACGGCGGGCCGCGGGGCGTACGGCGACCCGCGAACCGCCCCGTCGGCGTCCGCACACGTGTGCGAGTCATCGCCGCCGCCTCGCGTACGGTTTTCGCGGGCCGCCGCCACACGTGTCGCGTTCGAAAAACGTCTCGCCCCAAGGGCGCCCGCAAGAGTTGGGCGGAACGCGGGACAGCCATGCGCCTCTTGCTTTTCGACATGTTGAAATAATTATATCCGAATTCAAATTCTCTTCGTCCCGAGACGCGTTATCGGTACCGGGGTTGTATTGATAGTTTCCTCCAATACAACACCTTGATCGGCGCCTTGTCGGTAGGCAAACTTCGCGATAGCAGAATTATTCCGCTAATTTCGTATCACGCTGTACGATGCCTTTGTGGACCGTGGTTTGCAGTCGGTATACCAACCGCGACGGCCGATCAGGGCCGGCGGCATTGGGGTATTATGGTGGGTCGTCTCCTCGTCCCCCCGTGGTCGGATGTTTCGTAATCGTCAGTCGACATTTTCTCAATAGTAAGGAGCCGTCGGCAATTTTACGAATTGTTAAAAAAAAAAAAAAACTGTTTCCCTAGATTCTTGTATAGGTTATAATTTTTATAATAAAAAAAAATGTATTATAATATAGGAACGGGTCCTCGACAGTCGGCAGTACTTGGATTTTTTAAATCGGCAATTACCATTTGATTCGCCTTGAACCAAGGACGACGCGTTGACAATATTGAAAGTTTACTTTGTCGTAAAAATGTAGAATATAAGTGGACATTTATTCAATAACTATTGACTCCATAATAGTATTGGTATACGAACGCGGAGAACCCCTTGTTTTCCTTATTCCCAAAGACTTTGACCGTACGCAGTTAACAATTTACTTGTTTACCGATTTAGAAATCAAAATGTTGCCGACTGCTAAGGATCTAATTAGGACGTCTTGGCAAAAGGCAATTTGGCGAGAGACATTTTGGCGAAACGTTATCGGCGAACGGACGTATAATATACTTCAGAAGGTTATAGTTTTTGTTAAATATGACGTACTACTGAATTAAAAAAAAAAAAAGATTATTATTATTTACTTAATTTTTTTGAGTTTGTGACAAACGCCGATCGATAGATTAGAACAAGACTTAATTTTTTTTAAAACTGAAAATAGTCCCGACGGTCCTGTACATGTACGGCTGTATACTGTATAATATATAAGAAACATATATTATAAGTTATCTATAGAACGGTTCAAAATGTTTTAGTTTTTTTTTTTTTATACAATGATTTTTAATATTTATCGAATTTTAACTATTTGCTTAGGCTATTTTAACGTACCTTAACCATTTCAAGGAAAAACTAAGAATTTATATACATCATATTGGTAGTTTGTTGCAAGAAATTACAAGTTGACGTGTTTACAATCGGCATAAATGAAATATCTGTCGGCAAATACTTGATTTCCACTCCCCGTCAAAATCGTGTAACACCGGCTCTGCGGCCGATCATTTGTGGATATTTTTGTGGACAACTGATTCGCGGCTATCGAATTTGCGAGAATAGTTTATCCGAATTGTGTATGTAATATGTTTACATGGGAAAAAAAGTCGAAGAACGTAATTCAGCGGACAAATTTAGGAAAAATAAAATAAAATTGCCATTTGTATTCAATCGGTTACCAACTGATAAGTGTAACGTTTAATATTACATTATAATACCTTTAACCCGGGAGAGGCGTCGTTGGTATTTTTGACCGGAGCTAGTTTTAGTTCGGTGATTACCTAATGATATGATGCTCGACACGTTGGATATTTCACATACCTTTCGTACGCATTCACACTACCAGATTTATACGGTTTTCGGTACAAATTGTTCATGACTATCGCGTCAATTGAACGTTTTTCATCAATAATCGGCCTTTCTTCTCAATTTTTGGAAAAAAAAAAAAAACACATAATAACGCATTAACAAAATTGTTTGATGATTAATAAAAATTAAGACTGTCCCGCCCCCTCCCCCCGAACTTTCACCTCCGGGCCGCCCTTGTCTCGCCCGGAAATTCGATTTCGCCTCGCGCACGTCGTTGCAGACCTATTCGATGCTCCCGTTTTACACGGAATACTATAATAATGCGCTTTATAGTCTGAAACGAACGCTCCTCGTCCGGAGACGACACGTAATTCGATTTACTGTACAGGAAAATTATAATAATAATGTCATCATGCGCGATTGTTATTACGCCGACTCGGTCGCCTCGCCTTTGAAACGGAGCGAATCGAATTTACGGATACCGAAAATATCGCACTACAGTACCCGCGGCCCGCCTGCCTTCTAAACAATATTACAGGTTGGGTTCGTCGGATCGACTGTAATAATATGCTCGCAGTAATAATATTTTGGCCGTATACCGGGAGCTTGAAATAATAAAACTGAAACCGTTAAACCCCTGTACAGCCCCAAATATGACAGTCTCACGCGGCTCGGCGACCGTTGCAGCTATAAACATTGACGCTAATAGTAAAAAATGTTTGGGTGTGGGACTCGAGCCGCTCCCTGTAATACTATTACTAAAATGCCGCGGGGTGCTGCGCTACCCACACTCCCCACAGCTATAATTCTGAACACACTCCACTATACGAACTATTAGTAAATTAGTTTTTTTTTTTTTTTCAATTTTAATAAAAAGCGCCGTTCTGCGTGTTGGCAAACTCCAAGTCGGACCGTTTGGCAACGGTTTTTTCTCTTTTTAGTATTTTCAGAGGTTCTGCGTTTGGTAGTGTTAGAAACGGTCGGCGCATTACCGTTTTAATCGTGTTTATCGCGGTGTACGTATTTTCCGTGTACGTATAGCGTATCGTTGTTATGTACTTATGTTCGTGTTGATATCGTTATCGGAAAAAAAATATAACAAGCAATTTTTTTTTCGCGATAATTATTATAATATGTTTGCGTTTGACTTCTAAATACGGTATATTAATCGTACTAAGTATGAACATTGAATTTGCTGAAATCTGGTGCGCTAAGTCCCCCCAAGGCCCTCTCCTTGTTTGCGCCTATGGTTATAAATAAAACGATATTACGATATCGTTGCAGGTGTTGTACATTGTTTCGGATAAAAATGTGCATGTCATCGCATCAATATTTTGTTTTCCCTTACGAGATTTTTATTCGTCCAGTTTTCGGCAAATGTTTTCGTCTAATCACAGCGTATAGGTTATATTTGAAATTCCGAGTAGACCGAAGAAGTAATTAGTTTTATTTACGTGCGTCCCTCCCACCGGCAAAAACTTTTTCGACTAGTAAATATATACTTCGGTACCTTAAACGATGCGAGTTTTCCATCCAACGGTACTTTGCTCGGACAAATTTCCAAGACTCTCGACAGTTTTTCTAAAACATTGAAAAACCTGACGTCACGTCGATTTTACTTTTTGTGGATTTTCGGGTCGCCTAGGCTATACTGCCCGGTGAAAAAACTATTACAATCTTAGCCGTTTATCGCGAGTTCCGTTTAGAGTCGCTTCCGATCGCAACGGTTTAACGTTTTTTTCTTCAATATATTATTAACCGTAAACTACCCACCCTCGACGATAGATTATCCGTAAAGCGAACTATGTTTCTGTATAGGTGTATTAGCGATATCGTATACAAGAATGGTTTTGAGCGATGTAGACAAAAAGTCCTATGTGGAACGCTCAGCACCCTCTTTGACCGCGTTGATCCGGCAGTTGTGCTGTAGACCTGCAGTGGTTTTCAATCCGGGGTTCGCGCTACCCGCAAAGGGGTCGCCACAAACCATAAGTATCGCGTACACTGTACATGGCATTATTCGAGTTCTATCAAACGGTTTTCGAAGGGGTCGTCTTGCGCGAAAAAAAATGTTTAAGTCGTCTCGATTCGTAAAAGGTTGAAAACCACTGCCGGAGAAAACAACCGCCCTACAGGAGGCGTTCTTTTTATTGGACGATACAATATTAAGATTTGCAAAAAAATGATATTCATTAATTCGCGAGTTTTCGTCAACGAAATTTCACGACCGCGATGGCAGCGATTATTCGCGTTGCGATTTCATTGCAGCGGCACGGCGGGTTTTCGATTAACCGACGCAATAACGTAAAAGTTCAATAATCAACACGCGTTCGCTTTCGGATCGATGTTTTGCTGTGGCATACTAATAGCGTCCCGGAGTCGCTAAAAAATAAAAAATAAAATTACGTAGCTAATTTTTGAAATTTTCATCGCTATCGAATCAATAATAATATTATAATATTTTAATTAAAAATACATGTTACGACAAGCAGTTAAAACTGTATATATATATGTATAATAACATAATATTATAATAACGTGCACGATTCGAAATTTCGCTGTATTCATCAATCCGCCGACCGCCTACGCGCGCGTATATTTATCGTTCTCTCCCCCCCTCCCCTCAACACCGTACACGACGTTTCGTAATGCTAATGTAAAATATTGTAATATTTTTTTATTACTATCGGAGAAATTACCGCGTCGGAGAGTTTCGCGTTTACGCGTATGCATTCATATTGTGTACACGCATCGCATAATATGTAACGTACGCTAATAATAATACAACGTACGTCGATTGTCACCGGAGACACAAAAGTGCGCTACTGGGAAAATATTTGCCGAGTAAAAAAAAAAAAAAAAAATAAACAAATTATAATCGGCTGCGATTTCGAAAAAATGTGGAAAAAAAATTTGACGACGTGGTCGTAAAAAATAAACGGGCACCGGAGAATGTCAATGTTATCGCAAAACGCGCGTCGGTGTGCGGGTTTTTTTCCCCCGATTTTCCGCAGCCGTTGCGCGTATCATTATTATTTTTACTCGTTAAAAAACCACCATCGGACCGGTAAAATCGTGTTGCGCGCGTCGTTGCGTCTGAAACATTACAATAATTTCGGAAACGTCCGAGAACGTCCACGCGTACGCATATAGTGTATTAAAACAGGCATACCTATATGGGCGCATACAATACCGCAGACCGAGCCGCGTAAATATATTACAGAGAAAACATTAATTGCGTCGCGACTCGTGTATAGTAATAACCACAATGTTATTATTATTATTTGGTTGGGTCGTCGCGCGATAATAATACGCGCAAAACAACCGACAATATTGTAAGTTCGACGGGTGCGTGTATAAAGGGTGCCGGATAAATGCGATCTGTGGGTGTGGACCGGTGTTACGGAGAAAATTGTCGAA